CACAACAAATCCTACCTATCAAATCATCTTTTAAAATGTGAGACGCAAAGGAAAAAAAAAAACTCGGATCAAATCGGAAAAAGTTTTAAGCAAAATGGTATAATATGCAACTAGGTGACATGCTATGAAAGTTCGCAAGACGTTAAAGTTGTTGGAACTAATGTTTGATTGTCCAACTTTGAGGCAGCCCTGCTTTAAAGGGTTTTTTTCCTGATCATCATTATCTTTGACGAAATCTAGGAAGAGGATCTCAGCGGAAGCGATTTCATTCGCTCCCCCTAAAATAAATCGTTCTCGGAATATCCTCATATAACCTTTCCGTGGATTCTAACTTGCTTACAATATTTGCAGATAAATATACCACAAAGTGTTTAGGATTTATTTAATTGCATATACGGTAACGAAATCTGAGGGCTCAGCTTCACGTATTGCAAGGCACAGAATTTCGTGTAACCGATGGTATAATTTCTTATTAAGGAACGACAAGCTGAAATTTATTGTGAAGGCAATATGGAATTTAACGTAACGGTTGATCATCAAATCAGGAAAGCAGCTGTTAATTGGTCACATGACCGGAGAGGTTTCTTGCTGTCACGAAGTTCATGATTATCGGGCGATCGATCAAATTAAGTTGTGTGCGGCGTTTTTTTTTTAAAGAAAGACGCATGTTAAAAAATGTTTTTTATAATTTACTTTCGTGTCATCATTAGCAAACATTACGTTGGCACAATGAATAAAGAAAACCTCCTTTTCACGTGTGTCACGTGACACGTCCATTTAAAATTTCGCGATGAAATTTTTTTTTTCCTTACTTTGTCACCTTTGTCTCGATCAATCGGGAAAAACTCTCACGACATCAATTTCAGGATTAAAGTCACTAACTATGTGAACAAACCCTTATTTTCGAACCGCCCAGTATGGTATTATCTATCTCGTTATCGCGGAAAACCTGAGCTGATGTAAACAATAGAAATATGGATGTTTTACTCTCCGGAGAGTATCTCCGCGTGTGAATCGGATTCTTTTGTGCTATCTTCAGGGTGAGAAATGATTGTTTTGGCATATGGGAAACGCCATGTTCGAAAATGAGAGAAACACCACAGTCCCTCTTTTGTAATCCAATTACGTATGCCTCAAGTTTCTGTGCTCGTACCACAATAAACTGCCTGAGCGAGTTTGATTATCACTTCTTACCGATATTGACACAAATACATGAATCTTTATCAATTTGCTACATTTGTGTAAACATTTATGCACGTACGTACGTACATGATGTACGTATTAGCGTTAGCTGATTCTATGATCATAGATTGTAGATCTTTAATCTTTCATATCATAGATAAGATATGACAAATTTGGGTCGGCAAGCAATGAGCCGACCGTCGAAAAAAAGGGCTGTTGACGACAATACCTATCTTCTTCTATCGTCATTATTGATTCCCTCCTGCCCTCCCCTTTGTTGGAGAGGGAATCGATTGAAACACGATTTTTCTTCGCAGCTAATCTTTCTTCATTCGAGGGTGAGCTTATGATAACCTTACGTAATTTTGAGTATAAATGACTGCACGTCATACCGGCCTACTGGATCTGTCAGGTCGACTTGGTCGGCTAGATAAAGTTAATAATATAATGGGACGTTTGCCGTTTTTCCTTTTCTGGAATTTGTGGTTCTGTTATTAAAATAACCACTTTTCTGGAAAATCCTTGGATTTTTATTATAAAAAGAATCAATCTCAATCAGTTCTACTCATACACTACTAACAAGGATGGCAACCGAAATTATCACAACTAGTCATGCAGCAGCAAACTTAACCGTGTCCCCCTTCCTACAAGAGGCGGCGGCTGGTACTTTCGCTGGTTGGGCTCAAGTAGTAGTTGGTGAGTCTTCACTTTCTAATACGACGTATTTATTGATTTATAACATATTTTATATATTCATGTCTAAAAACATCCGCTCCTTTCATTTCAAAGGATTTCCTTTTGACACAGTGAAGGTTCGACTTCAAACTAGCAGTCAGTGGTATCAAAACGCCGTAGACTGTTGCAAATCTATCGTCAGAAATGAATCGGTAAGTCCATTTCTTTATTTGAAAATATTTTCACGAGTAAGGATTAAACTAACACCGGCGAATTCCAATAGTTTCTTGGACTCTACAGAGGAGTCAACTCTCCTTTGATGGGAATCGGAATTTGGTAAGTCGGAGGAATGAGTCGCGTCCACACCTTTTTAAACACTTCTTGTCGCTAATTCATCTGGTCATTCCTCTCTACGCCCCTTACCTTTTTCGTATTAGTAATGCAACCTTGTTTACCGTGAACTCGAAGTTTCGCCGACTAGTTGGTGGTGGTGACATGACACGAACACTTTCATTACGTAAATATGCATCCGGTGACCTCGTGAGTTCAATCGAATAAATAAAGAAATACTAAACGTGGGTTTAAATTTCAGGTGAAGTGGGTTTATCCGGTGCATTCACCGGAGCTACAATGGCATTCATAAATACTCCCGTGGAGCTGCTTAAAGTTCAATTACAAACACAGCATACCACCAACGCAGCCGTCTCCAAGCCAGTAAGTTTCCTCATATCTGAATGCTTATCAATACCTCGCAAACATACTGAAATGTGTTCTTTCTATGTAGTACAAAGGAGTAATTGACGCCGGAATTCGAATATTCAAGAATCGCGGAGTCACCGGTCTATATCGTGGCATCACGATAACCTTGCTGCGAGATATACCAAGCTTTGCGTCATATTTCTGTAAGCTTTAAAGAATATATTTTTCTGTCTAATTTTAATTTCACTTGCGAATAATTTTTTTTGATATTTATTCATAGTTGTGTACGACGGGGCAAAACGAATAATTGGAAACAGAAAAAAAGGTGCCGACCGCGGCAAACTCTCATCTTGGGAATTACTTTTTGCTGGTGGAATGGCCGGTATTGCTTGTTGGATTCCTTGCTATCCACAAGATGTGATCAAGAGCAGGATGCAAAGTGACCTCAGGTAGGTTTCACTTGACGAACATTTTGCATGCCAATTAGATTCTACCTTGACCAATTAACCAACAATGATATTCAATACTGCAGATACAGGTCAACTGGTGAATGTCTCCGAGCGTTAGTCGCGCATTCCAGGGCAAACAAAACATCATTATTTCAAGCTTTCTCTAAGGGCTTTGGGCCTACGATGGCAAGGGCCTTCCCTGCCAACGCTGCAACATTCTTTGCATACGAAATGGTAATGAAGAAATTACGTTGACACTCCTCATGATATGACATAAAAAGTAGTTATTATTGCATTTGACCTAATTACAGATAAAAAAAAAAAAAAAAAAAAAAAAGAAATAATTAAAAAAAAAAAAAAAAAAAAAAAAAAAATAAAAAAAAAAAAAAAAAAAAAAAAAAAAAAAAAAAAAAAAAACAAAAAAAAAAAACAAACATAATTGCATCAATCTAAAAGTATAAATAGAAAAACAAAAAAAAAAAAAAAAATTTTTTTCTAAACAAAAAAATGTCTAGTTAGCTTTACGCGCCGTACATACAGTATGTAAGAGAAAAAAAGTAGTAATAAACAAAAATTTTTGCATTTCATATTCATTACGTAATGTTGTGCGACATGAATCTTTAACATAAAGTTTCACAATGCGTAAAACGTTTACGCTTGCACGACATATTGTAACTATGAGCATGTCAACGCCGTTGCTGTTCGAGTGTTCATTACACGGTAGAATACCGGAGAGTTTAAGACCAAAATTAATAGAAAGACTGGAAGGTATTTGTGGTACGACACCCGTCGACATATTTGAACATGAGATCGGATTTATACCCGCTGGTAAAGATTTTTACGGTTCACGGAGTTTTCCTTTTTATTCGCCCTACGCCTCAACTCACCACTTCGCCTCAACTTGAAAAGTCCAAACACCCGACGGGCCATCCCGAAATGATGATTTACTGTTGAGATTGAAATCCCCAATCGATGAAAAGGATCTGACGAAACGCCAATGGTAAGTGCGACAACGACTTTCGGTTTAAATTTTGGTTTCATCGAAAATGACCGATATTCGGCGTTTAGGCAGCTTTGTCAGCTTGGGCATCCGGAAACACGTACCGGCAGAGGCGTCACGGTCAGAAGCGTGTTGTATGCGAAAATTCTAAACGGTGATGCACTCAAATTTATGAATGTTCTTGGATACAAGTAAGGGTGTGATGCTGGCAAAAAAAAAAAAAATTTCAACCGTTGTCGCCTATCGTAAATAACCAACCTTTCATTCCACTCACACGAGGTATGCATATGAGTATGTGAAAAAGGGGGTGGTTTTTACCTTTCGGGACTTATTGAGGATTAGCATTTCTCAAATATTTACCGTAAGCAAGCCTGGGAAATTCTATTTTTCCCCGTTACCTATTAATCTCTTTAACTTTTTTTTTTTTTTTTTTTTTTTTTTTTTTTCAAGTTAGACAAAGTGCACGACGTGTCAGCATTAAAACCCTTTGATGAAAAAAATTATATTGTGGAAGCGACAACCATGCTGGTATTGTCTGAGGCGGTCGACATAAAGTGTAGTGAATTGAAGTCATTTGCAGAATTTTTGAGAGGCGCAGTCGATTTGCATCATGTTGATCATTTGGCTTTGAAGAATAGGTTATATTACACCAAGTAATTTGGCGAAGACGCCGTTGAAAATTTAAGAAGGCATTAAAGAATACGATTCTAGAAAATTTTATCGTTAAAATGAGATTTTGGAATTTTATACTTTGTTTTTATTAAATTATTTGGTGAAAGGCTTTTATCTTTTAGCATAGTGAGATCAAAAACGGTGTAATCATAAAATCATGCAAAATATTTGTTAGATACCATTTACATTTTATTGTTGTTATTAGAAATCAAAAAAAAAATTTTTTTTAACATTAATGTTTTTAAATCCATTATATACAGTATCTATATTAGTTTTTTTAAGAAATGTATTTATTTTTAATTTCTATATTTATTATACTATTTTACCATTCTTTTAATATACTGTATATAGTACATAATATGGTTTTAAGATCAACATGTTTATGAATATAATTGATTATATTGTATATTTTATAATTTATTTGGGAAATATTTTGTTATTTATATTGCAAAATAAGATAATTTATTACAATATTTATTATTATTAAATATTATATAAAATTAATTTTCTGTTTTTAATTTAATATAACAAATATTAAATTTTTATCAAATATTATTAATAAATAAGGATTATCAAATAATAAATCTAATATTATTCATTTTTTATTAATAAAATCAAAAACTTTTTTTTGTATAATTTATAACTAGATTAGATATATGATTTATTAATTAAATAAATACTGAAATATATATTTATTTAAGTAATATTAAATACATTATAGTCAAATATTTATATTTTATATCTAGTTAACTCTAAGTTTAATTTTAATTATCTTATAATAAATTTTAAATTAATATTCTTTTAATTCAAAATATTTATTGAACTTTTTTATAAAAATCTTTACAATATACAGTATTAATCTAAAGAATTTAACATTATAATTGAATTAAAAAAAAATTATTATTAAAAATTTTGATTAACTAATAAGAAAAAAAAAACTTGGCTTAAATAATTATCATTTTTTCATTATTTGAAAACTTATTATTTAAATTTTATCAACTATATAAATTTCAAGATATAAATTAATCTAATAAAAAAATAAAATAGAAAAGAACATCTATAATCTTTCAAGTAAAAATAAACTTATATTTTTAATTGATTAATAAACTACAATTTAGTCTAACTATAAGTATTATAAAAAAAAAACATTAATAAACTTTTATTATTACTAATAATATTAATAAAATATATAATTATAATTTACAAAAACTTGTTTGTTTATGTTTTATTATTAATATTATTTATTAATTAATTACTTTAACCAAAGATTTATATTATTCAAAAATTTAAAATTATATTGAAAAACAAATAACATATAATAACAATAACAATAAATAGAAAAGTTTGAAATTTATATTTGTTAACTTATTTTTTTATTATAAAAGATTTTTATAAACTAGATTTATGAAAAAATTTTTTAATATAATATTATTAATTTTTTTTTCTTTTTTAAAACTTTTTTGTTACAATATAAATAAAAAAAGTTTAAAAGTTAATTTTTGTATAAAAATTATAAATAAAAATAAAAAATAAAATTAATTTAAAATTTTTTTCAAAAATTTTTTTTAAAAAAATAATAAAATTTTACCTTTATATTCTCAATAGTTTAGATACGTAAATATCTTTTTAATTATTAATATCATTATTTACAAGTCACTATTGCAAATTACTACATAAGTTTCTAACAGAACTTAAAATTTAACTACTTTATTTTATATTTAATTCTTTTTATTAAGATCTTTTTCAAGCTTTATCTTTTAAAATTTTTTTCTAATAATAATTTTTTTTTTTTTTTGTTAATAATATAGATTTTTGATTTAAATAACTTAATACTTTTTAATTTTTTTTTTTTTTTTATAAATTTTTATGCATATTTTTATTCAATTATCTTCTTGCATTTTATATTCTATATTCTTTTTTAAAACTAATTGCAAACTTTTTTTTATATCTTTATTATCTATTTTTTTACTTCTTTTTTTATTTATTTTTCATAATATTTTAAGTTTTCTATTTTTAAAATAAAATTATTCCTTATAAAACCAAACAAAAATTTTAAATATCTAGATTAATTTTTAAGATTTATTTAATTAGTTTAAAAATCTACTTGTTAAACTCTCTTAGTTCTTCTCTATTATTTATAATGAATCAGAAATTTTTTTCTTTTGTTTTATTTTTTTTTTTCTTATAAAAATTATTTATTTTTTTATTTTATATTTTTTGTAATTAATTTTTATAAATTAAATATTTTAGTAAATATTTTATTATTTTATTTATTGACTATATATAATATATTTCACTTACTTATATAAATCTGATCTTTTTGTGGTTATTTTATTTAAAATTAATAACTCATTATTAATCAATTTAATAAAAAAAACTTTTTTTATTAAAACTTTTTAAAACATATATTTTATATACTGTGATCAAATTTATATTTGACCAGTGTGTCCAAGTGGAATTGCTTTTAAAAGGACAATTCCCAAAGAAAGAA